TCTACCGGGAAATGAACATAAAGTTTGTAGGCTTGTTAAATCATTATATGGTTTAAAGCAAGCTCCTAAACAATGGCATGAAAAATTTGATAGTGCTATTATTTCATATGGATTTAGACATAATAACGCTGACAAGTGTTTATACTCTAAATCTTGTGATGACTATATAGTCATAGTGTGTTTATATGTGGATGACATGTTAATCTTAAGTGATGATATGAGAGGAATAATGGAAACGAAGAGGTTTCTATCATTAACCTTCAAGATGAAAGATCTTGGAGAAGTTGATACCATTTTGGGTATTAAAGTGAAAAAAACATAGTGGGGGTTATTCTTTAAACCAAACCTACTATATTGAGAAAATAATTAGCAAATTTAATCATCTCAAGATAAAAAATGCTAATACTCCGTTTGATTCAAGTTTAAAGCTTGAGAAGAATGACGGTAGAGCGGTGGCTCAACTTGATTATACAAGTGCAATTGGAAGTCTAATGTATGTTGCACAGTGTACTAAGGCTGACATCTCATTTGTAGTTAGTAAACTAAGTAGGTTTACTAGCAATCCAAGCGTGAAACATTGGAAAGCTATTAGTAGAGCTTTTGGCTATTTAAAGAATACCAAATAACTAAGCCTCCAATATTCTAAGTTTTCCGCTATACTTGAAGGATATTCAGATGCGAGCTGGATATCGAGCGTGGGAGATAATATATCAACCACAGGTTGGGTGTTTACTTTGGGAGGAGGAGTTGTTTCTTGGGGATCAAAGAAACAGACTTGTATATCACATTCAACTATGGAAGCAGAGTTTATAGCTCTTGTTGCAACAGGCAAAGAAGCAGAGTGGCTTCGGGATCTCATGTTGGATATCCTTTTTACTAAAAATAATATATCAACAGTGTCAATACACTGTGATAGTCAAGCAACTTTAGCCCGTGCATATAGTGGAGTATATAACGGGAAGTCTAGATATATTAGTCTAAGACATGAGTTTGTAAGACAATTGATTCAAGATGGAATCATATCAATTTCATTTGTAAGATCAAGTGGAAATCTTGCAGATCCTTTTACTAAACCTCTGACGAGAGATTTAGTAAGAACAACAACTCGAGGGATGGGACTAAAACTCCTTAAATAAATTCACCAATGATGGCAACCCAACTTAACACTAAGAAATGATTAGTTTTAAGTTCAATGGGTAAAAACAAGTCGTTGATAAGTGAATTATAACAAAATTAAAATTTGGGAGTTCCATCTGAGATATAAAATGTTGGTCGTTACGGTTGGAGGGTTAAACATAAAGCTTTTAATGAAATTCAGTCTACGTGTGACAAGCATTTTAAGTAATGAGAATGCTGTAAGAATTTCACCTATGTGAACTTAGAAGTGGTGCCGCTTCTCATGAGAGTTGGAGTTTTCTCTCAAGAAAGTTCATGAATGGATTGAGCACATGGCCATAAAAGTGCTAAGCGAGAAAAAGTGATAGGTGCTTGCCGAATAGTGGAATGTGTGTGTTATCACCGGTTTCGTCACAAGGAATAATTGGTTCAATGCTACAAGCAACCTGGAATTTCGACGAGGCTTTGTGATGATTACACTAAGGTAAAGTTCAAATCGAAAGATACTTTATTTTATGCATTTTCACTATGGTGGTTATAATGTTGGATTTTATTTTAACCAAGTGGGGGATTGTTATATTTTGGTTAAAATAAAATGTAAGATGAATTATATGTTACATGCAAAGGTGTAAGAGAACTTATATATTACATGCATGAGTGAAATTGAGTTATACAATGCATGGATGTAAAATAAGTTTCAATACAATATGCATGTAGGATAAGTTTCAAGACAATGTATGTGGATAAGTTTCACTTCACATTAAACTTGAAACTTGTGGGTTTAATTAATCTTGAATTAATTAAACAAGTTGCAACTTAATGAGATTAATGTATCTCATTAAACAATATGAGTTGTGAAATTAAGTTCTTACACTTGTAACCACACATGGCATGACACCTATATATACTTCTCTTCTTTTGTGAAATCTTATGAAGAAAGTAGAAGGCTTGATCAATCCCAAAACTCCTTTCCATTTTGTGTTCCCTAAAGATTTCAAAGAGAGGGAGGAAATAGAGTTTTTGGACAAAGTTCCAAAGAACTTGTTTGAGTCTTGTATTACATAATATTGTTCTTGAGAGAAATATTAAATAAAATAAAAAGTGAGTTTTGTTGAGTGTCTCTTTCTCCATTGTTATCTATTATTTCCAACATTGTGTGCAGGCTTGTATGTCTGGTGGTTATGCCAAATTATTCTGTAATGTTTGAATGCCTTACAATTATTTTAATGTAGTTTGCATGATAGTTTTGTTACATGAAGGAGTTCTGAACATTGGTGTTATAGCATGTGGTAAGAAATGAGAATAAGGATTTTATTCCGAGCCTTATAATGTAATCCAGGAAAACTGGGTCGAACCGAGAGAAGTTAGAATTTTATGTGAACTTAACTGCTTTTATTTGAACGAATTATGTTCTCTTACCTGATATATGTGTCTTACGTGTTATATTGTGTTTACCTTCATTTTAAATCAAAATTCCTAATAATAAGACTTAAAAATCGAAATGTAGATTAAGAGGAGTCGAGCCCTCATTCAGACGCACGTGCATTTTCATCCAGTCAGTAAGTTAAAAAAGTGGGGATTTTCCATGCTATGTTCTAATTCTTAATAAACGCAAGGTATTTATAGCCGAGGTATGTATATGAGTATTTGCCTATGAGTGGGCATTGCCCGTGAGTGGATACCAGGACAGGATCTCCCGCCGTGTGGGTCAGCGTTCCCGGTGGTGAGGTGTACATCCGAGATCGGTTTGCCGTGCCGTGTGGGTTAGCGTTTCCGGCCGGTAAACCAACAGATGAGCCATGTTATGCGACCATGATTTACTTATTTATATGTCAATGTTATCGGTACTTGTTTTTATCATGAATAATTGCATTGTATGGAATATTGATGAGCACGTTGATTATTGCTCAGCCCCCACAATTATCATTTTCAGGTTAGCATGCCGGGCGGGACTCAAAAGGGGCTAGTGGTGGTCATATGCAATTTATTTATTGCTTCCGCTATTGAACAGTTTATTTTCCGAACATATTACTGTCAGCTACGTTGAATACTGTTTGGATTCATGTTTCAGTTTTTCGATTCATTTATCAGACTAGTATCGATTGCTCTGCTAGATCTTAATGAATTGAACATGTTTTATGTTGGGATCTGATATCCTGAAATGATTAAAAGCATACATGATAGTAAAGCTAGTTACATGTTTAGTAAGTACCCTCAAAGTATGTTTTAAAAATTAAATTATTTTCGAAAAGTTCGATTCGTTTCCAAAAACTCTGATGATTTCAATGTACAAGTATAGGGGCTTACAATTTGGTTTCCAGCATTTTTGGCCAAACCGCTATAATAACGATTTTGACCGAATCAAAATGCCAAAAAAATTATTTGGTTGAGCAGCTTTTCATATCAGCGAATTGGGCCAAAACACTAAAGAAGAAGAAACTACAGATTGGAGTGGTTTTGGTTGGCAGATATGCTTAGGATTAATTGGTTAATTTATTACTTAATAGTTCTTTAAAATGTAAAAAATAACAAGTGTCTGAGTTGTGCAAGATATATTCTTTTAACCACCAAAGGTTAATGTTTTTCAAAACTTGTCTAGAAGTATTTAGTTTTTATATTAAAAGATTAAATGTAATATAAAAGTAATATATTTTTCTACAGAATAATTAATATAGCTTTTATTTTATTACAACTTTGGTTGTCAATCAAAAACTTTCAAGAAAAAATAATAAAATTTGTGTGTTTATAATGTAATATAAAAGTAATATATTTTTCTACAGAATAATTAATATAACTTTTATTTTATTACAACTTTGGTTGTCAATCAAAAACTTTCAAGAAAAAATAATAAAATTTGTGTGTTATGTTATTATTAAATTTTCTCAAAATTACAATATATGTGAATTGTAATTTTTAAATAATTATAATATAAATATTAAAATACAAACTGGAATTTATTTGCTCCTAAGCTTCGGATTGAGAATTATTGCTTCTGAGTAATCCAAATTCTTGAGAGTGTTGAGTTCAATCCATTGAAATTGATTCGCTTTTCTTCGAAGCTTTTTCCAATTAAGTTTAATCTGCATTCCGTGAGACCCAGCGCGATGTTGGAGTTTGAAAGTTCAATTCCTTCTGCTTCTTTATCTGAAAGTTTGATTTTGAGCATCCTGTCTGAAATTTCTTGCTCTATAGTAGTACTCCCACGAAAAGATCTGAAGCAAGCTCTACACTGCTCCCGAGACTCAAGAACAAGGACGACTGTCACCGTTAATATAGAACTAACAGCAAGAAATAAGAATGAGCCGAAAGCCCTAGAACCGACAGATGGGGAAAGCTCGATGAAACCCAGACCACGAATCTGAAAAACTAAGCCTTAGAGAAGAGAAAGAAAGAGAGCTATGAAAAGATTACAAGAAGGATATGAGATCATTTTTTATGAAACCCTAGGTGACAATCTAACTCGTGGAACTGCATCTCTAGAGAGAGAAAAATCTAAGAAACGAAAACCCTTGTGTTAGCTAATTTTTCGCTATGACTCAAACTAAAAATGAATATATTTATAACAAGATATTTACTATTTCTAAAATTAATTTATCAAATATCACATTTCAAATTTACAAAATTTTGTTATATTGTGAAAGAATGTAACGTCAACATATTAATCACTAAAATTATGTGTTTTATAATGATCAATAAAATAAAAATAACATTAAATATTATTTTATCTTATTTATTTATATTATCTTATACCTTAGTTACATAAATGGTAAAACAAACATACAATATAAAAATGCGAGTCACAACACACACAACACAAAATATATAACAACAACAACAACAAAAAAACATTTTAAAATAAGCAACATTTTGGATTAATTTCGAAATTATTGCATTTGCCCATTTAAGAAATCTTTAACAATGTTGTTGAACCTTCCCGGTTGTTCAAGCTGGGGAGCATGAGACGCTCTTTGTATGACTTGTAACCTTGCATTTTCCCCTAACAATCTGAAATTTACAAAATAAATTTAATCTAAGTATTTAATAATTAATGACAGATTAGCTTCTTTATAATTATAGTTAGTTGATAAAAGATTAGCAGTTAATTATGCATACTTATTGAGCTCCACTGCTTTCTCCAATAAAAATATCTGGTCACGCTCACCCCACACAATCAACACTTCCTGCATTTTATACGGAAAAACGAAATAAAATAAATATAAAAATAAAATTTTCACAAATTTTAATATATAATCAATAATTAGTTATTATTATATATATTTAATAATTATATATTTATCAAACACTTTCAATAATTAACTATTATAATCAGCTCATCATCAAATCAACTATTCATTATTAGATAACTCGATCCATTTATGTCGCTATGATTTAATATCTATATCTATACGCTATGATTTAATATCTATATCTATATCTATATGATAAGAATAATTATTTACCAAAAATAGTAGTGAGAATTTTTTGTAGCATTTATTGCATACCTTTTTTGAATTTTTTTTAAATATTTTCAATTAATTGTTTCCACATAGACGTTTTCAAATAAAATCAAATCAGATATGATCAAAAATATTGTTTCATTAAATAATTTTATTAATATTTGCAATAGTTTCATTGATATCCATTATAATAAATTACAAGATTGATTTTTCGTAAGTCATGTTGATAATAATTTGGTTAAGATAAATATTACAACATATATTTTAAGTTCTATCCATAATATTAATTTTTTTTTTCATATATTCACTTTTTATCCAAAAATACTTATAGAAAATCGTAACAGGTTAGAAAATATTTTTTCTTCCAATTAATGAGGCGAAATCAAGTTGGTGAATTAATCTTTGTCAATACATGTTTACTTAAGCTTTATTTCGTTTTATATAAAAAAATAAATTATTTTTAAATCAATATAACTTACCATTTAAGAGATAATGATAAAATACATTAAATGGTTTTACTAATGGTCAAAAATTGAAATTGAAATATATAAATGTTCATTAGAATTTATTTGTATATTATTGACAACCATGATTACTTTTTTTATCATTTTTTTATTTTTATTTCTTTCAATGATGGAATTTTTGTAAAATATATATTCATTGCATAGTATGCTAAATAAACTATAAATACTTATAATGAAAATTAGAAAAATCTTGATAATAGAAGGGATTGAGTTTTTGACATTTGATAAATCAAAGGTGTTTATTAGTATAAAAAATTAAATTCTAAAAAAACATGTGTATATAATTTGTAATTTATATATACACTATTTAATTTAAAATTATTTACATATTTTAAATTGATTATATAAATAAGTAATACTAACGTGCATTAAATATTTTTTCATTACATAGAATAAAAAGAAAAAGAAGACGTACAATTTCTATAACTTTTATAAATAATAATGATGTTATAAGACAACAAAGTTTATAATAAAATACCAATTAAGTATTACATGGTGAACAAGAATAAGTAAAATTGTTATTTTCTCTTATATCAAGGAATAAGTATATATACAAAAATCAAATTTATATTAGTATAAATGTGTTAATAAAATAATATATTAATTTTTTTTTACAAACAAGTGCTCATATTTAATGTTCTGGCCTAAAAACAAAGCTGATTAAAAGAGGTGGCAATAGATTATAATCCTATTTTTTTAGACTTAACGCTGATTAAAAATGGTGAAAAATAGATAATAACCCTATTGTCTTTTAGACTTAAACAAACAGAGTATGTAAAATTACTCATTTAATATATTGTCTCGTGCATCGCACGGGATGCGTATTAGTTATTTACTAAATACTTTTAGACGCTATCAAAGCTACCATATATCAATAATAAAATAATTCAACTAAATAGGAAATTCAATAATAATAATTCAACTCATAAATAATGATTTGGGCTTTATATCAAATGAAACCTGTGAGAGGGGAGATATGTTTAGAGTGTCATCTTGTCCAATTGTCAATCCTTGCAAGAGTTCCAGCTTCTCTTTCCTGTTCTCACAAAACAAATTCTGGGCCCAAATCCAACCACCAATTCCTCAACTTATTAATTACATTTAATGCATAAAGATATTTATATTTAATTAATCTTGCAAGACAATCAATCCAAAAATACAATAGTTACAAAATTTGTAAAATTTTAACGGCTTAGTTGATTGATAGATTGATTGATTCTCTACACAACAAAAAGTTGCGTAAACTATTACTCACATGAAGAAAATCGTTGAGTATGAAATCGGGAAGGTAGACGCGCCGGAAAATCACAAGACGGAGCAAAGTTCGAAGTTGCCCAGTCGTGACCGGCATCAACAAATCCTCAATCTTGTCGGATTTTGCTTTCCTCAAAAGCTCGTCGTTATCATGTCGCCGTAGGTTCACGGCTGAGCTGGCGATCACCACCTTCTCGACTCTTTCCGGCCACATTGCCGCCATGTGGTACGCCACGAAACCTCCGTAGCTCGTCCCAACCAGCGAGTACCTACATTTGGTACATACATACGTATTTCTTGAAATGAAATTATATCTACAATTAATTATGTATTATTTGGAATTAGCTAAAAATGAACGTACAAGAACTATTTAGGTTCAATGATATTATTGTCTTCGAAAGTATATATTTTTAATATTTTATACTATGTTATATAATTCTGATTAAATAACTGAAAAAACGCATATATACCAACTCTATAGAGCAGTTTATTTTATTTGAATTTTCTTGCATGTTTGGGTTGCAAATTTTTTATTCTCAATTTACTTTTTTAATCAAGTAGCATCTCATAAGTTATATTTTTGTTATTATTCCTCTTTTGAGTTTTGACTTTTGGAATACAAATATTAATTTATTTCATAATTTTATTTCTATGTTCATTAGGGCAAATTCGTACCCGATGTGCCTGACTCGTTAGATCAACACACATCTGCACAGTTGTTCGTGCGCGTGTAATCTGACGGCTCGAAACCATATCAAAATTGGAATATTACGTTCACAACCCTATTTTTCACAAATTTTACTAATTTAACTAATTAATTACCTGCGAACTCCGAGCTTTTCAAGTAGTTTCGCCAAACAAGTCGCCTGAAAGATCTCACACCGGCTGGCGGACTCGGTAGAAGAGCCGCCGAAGAAAACGAGGTCCGGCACGTAGACGTCGAATTCTCCTGCAAAAAACGAGATCTGATCCCGCCACTGCCAAATACCGGCGGGCCCGAAGCCGTGAATGAGGACGAGCTTCGGCTTGGAGGAGGCAGCAGCGGCAGCCGGAGGTGGACCCCAAAAGTGGATGGTGGTGTCGCCGTCAATGGCCGCCGCCTGAGAGGTGAGGCCGGCCGCCGTTGCCGAGCGGCGGAGGAAGGCTTTGAGGAGGGGGACGATGCTCAGGCAGGAGGCTCCCATGTGCCCCTTAATTTAATGAGGCTAATAATAATGACACAATTACAAAACCACTGAAAGAAACAACCCGTAATTTATTATATAGACTCTTGATAATGTGATTTAATTGTAGAAGTAAACACCGAATTAAAAATAGGTAGGTATTATTCTCTTTGTCAAATCATTAACATATATTACCTCCTATTTTTATTATTTGTCGTTTTGAGAAGCAACACGTTTATTAAGAAATTTTTTTCTTGTCAATATTAACCCTATTTAATGGATGTAATGAGAAACAATGGAGCTGAGATATGAAGAGGCTGTGTATTAAATGGAGGGTTAAAAATGAAAAAATATGAACAAAATAGTCAAAATAATATTTATTTAATCAATGATCAATTAAGCCAGGATGACAAATAATAAAAATAGGAGGGAGTATATTTTATTTTTTTGGAAAATAACCTTTCGTACTAAAATGTTATCACTACAAGAAAATGATGAAATTCCAACGGAAATATATTCCAATAAAATTATTCCAACGGCATTCCAATGATATTTCAATATATTATTTCCGTTAGAATTTCACAATGGATTTCAACGGAAATTCCAACAATAATATTTCGTTGGAATGAGTTTTCTATCAGAATTTCGTTAGATTTTGACGATTCCAACGGTAAATTTTCCAACGGACGTAAAAATACATATTCCAACTGAAATTGCATATTCCAACGGAAATTTCTACGGTAAAAAGCCGTTGGAAATATTTTCGTTCGAATCATCAAATTTCATCTAAAATTCCAATGAAAAATACATTCCAACGGAATATTTCCGTTGGAATAGCTATACAATTGAAATATCCATTGAAATTTTCATTGGAATATAATATTATAGGATTTTCTGTTGGAATATAATATTTTTTTGTAGTGTATATTTGTAACTATAAGTAAAATATTTTATGAATATGAAAATTTTTGTAATAATATTTATATATATATATATATATATATATATATATATATATATATATGATGATACAAGAATTACCTGACGTTAGTCAGAGGACACGTGGCGACGATTGATACTCCGACGCCTGCAAAACAGAATCCCGGGGTTGTCCCAAAGGGTAGATCCTCCGATACTTAAGTTATAATCGGCTTTAGGTTTTCTGAGGTGGTGGCTGCGGAAAGAATAGAAGAGGGAGTTTGGAGTGATCAGAATATCCCTTACCTTGACCTAGGTTGTCCTTTTATAGGAGTCAGACGACCTAGGTCTCCCTTCATGTGCGGAGGACTCCCTGGCCCATAAGCTTCGTGGGCTGACCCCCAACTTTGGGCCCAAAGTAAAACTCCTCTGGACCTTGGGCCTATAGTAATTCTCCTCAGGACATTGGACCCAGAGTAAAGCTCTTTGGGACCTTGGGCCTGAATTGAGGTTGGGATTCTGTTGAGTATATTTTTGGGCATGTGGTAACCGAGCTACCCGACTCGGGTCGTTCTCAAAGGAAGGCTATTCGGAGCTTCGTTCACTACCTAGTCGTCTAAGTCACACAACCGAAAAGGTCCTAAACATTCTACTCGCAAATTGGGGATTTGAATTAAACTAAGCTAATCTACGAAATTGAAATCGAAAGCAAGTAAAGCACGCAAAAAGATGAGAGAAATCAAGGGGAAAAGAGAGATTTTGGTTTGCCGGAGTCTCCATGATCAATCACACGCAAATAACCGAACATTGTCATGATAGCTAAAACCCTAGAAAGCTAAACCAAGCTCTAGCACAAAACGAGCAAGTATTTA